GGGGGAGATGAGGTCATCCTTAGCCTACGAAGGCGCATTTTTCTGAAACACTGTAAAATTAACATGCAGGCTAGACACAGAATTTAGTTTTTTTTTTTCACAGTTTCGGTTCGTTGTATTTAGTTTTTTTTCCCGTTTGGCACTTCTGTCAACTGCTTGTACTCGTCCTTGACGCAAAAGATGGCAATTTCTTCGTCCTGTCGGTTTATGAACTATCCCGGATCCCCGTAATCCTATTTGAGTTCTTTACCTTCTCAAAGCTTATTTTACTTTATATGGGTACCATTCAACAGTGGAATAAAGCCAGAAATAGAACGAAGATTTGATTTGTTTAAAATTCCGTCTGTTACAAAACTGGTGAATTTTGATGAATTTTCCCCCCTTTTTCTGGCTTCCTATATCCATCTGTGCTTCGAAAGCCGACGGAAGAGTCGAGAAACATTATTTGGGTAACTTGTCTGACAGTTATCACCAACTGGGTCGCCTGTAAGCCTATATTCGCAGCCTGGATCTTCGAATTTTGCTTTCCTTTTCACTTTCTTCTGCACAACTCCTCGTTGTTTTCCTCTTGGGCTCCATATTCTTAGTTTTTGTCAAGATTATTGGACATATTCATTTTTGCTTGTAAATTTTTTTGTAATTTTGTTTCTCGTAAATTTTATAAAATAAAGAAAAGGAAACAAAATTTGTTTGTGAATTGAACGTTCAATGAACTTAACTTCTATGGGAAATTGAAAGAATCGGATTTAACTGGTTTAACGGGTAGTTTACATATGATTGTAGTGCGGGATATTGCTACACTCAGTGATTTCAGGTCGTTACGAAACGCTGTTGAACGAAAAAGCAATTGTGAATAGCAAACAGAAAGAATTCGATTCACTTTCTTCAGAATTAGAAGGCATGCTCGCTAAACTGACACAGATTGATGAGCAGGTTTCTCTTAAAATAAATATAATTTTTTCAAAAAAAAATTTTTTCTTCTGTTTTCGTTTTTTTTAAATTTTTTTTTCTGTTTTTCTATTTCTATTTTTTCTTTTTTTTTCATCAAAATCTGTATATACGGTTGCAGGATATACAGATTTTCGTGAAAAAAGAGAGTTTTGGTTTACTTTGTCTAGAATCGGGGTACAGCACCATTCGCATAGTGTGAAAATTTTTTTTGTTGTTCTCTGTAACGTTGATTGGCCCAATTTTTTTGTAATTTTTGTGTAATTCAGCACTTTTTAACAAGTTTTTTTTTGCTTCGCATAGTTTTTTATGCGTTTTGCACAGTCGGAGTCTTCTTGCTCGGATCGGCTAGTTATGAAAAACCCCTCTTTTCGCTCGCTCCGGATCTGACTGTATCCTGTATTGCTATTACATTGCCGTACATTCCACTGGATCAACTTTCTCTTCCAGGCCTCCCGTTCTCATTCAGTCTCCTTGTCATTGTTTGTTATTTTTCTTTAAAAAAAGAATTTCTACAACACTTTGTATGCGGCAAACTCCTTCTCTCCTGTTGGCTTTTCACATGAATTTTTTGAATTATACCATAAACAGTTCGTTGTACACTACTAAAATTCACATGCCACGGAAGTCTGATTAAGTATAATTTTGCAAAAAACCAATGAAAAACTAAATTTTTCAATTTTTTTTTAAAATCTCAGTCAATTATGTATTTAAGATGACGCAGCATATTTCAAAATGCCAAGCAAATTCGAGGACCGGCGCATGGGCATCGGGTCCAGCTCTGCAGCACACATTGCGAAGGCATCGTGAAATTTTGCGTGATTATTGCACCGAGTACCACAGATCACATGATAATATAAGGAGTCAGTTGGAGAGGCACGCTTTTTTTTTTCATCACAGATCCCATATTCTGTAGTTGAGGAGTCTTCTTTGAAATACACGGTCTGAGAGCTGTCATTTTTATGCGTTTTTGTTGTGCAGTACTATAGCGCTACTACAGCGAGCAAAAACACGTATTGTCGAGAGATCATCAGTGTGTATGTGTGTGTGTGCGTGTATGCGTGTGTGTGCGCGTGCGTGTGTGTGTGCGTGTGTGTGTGCGTATGTGTGTGTGTGCGTGTGTGCGTGCGTGCGCGTGTGTGTGTGTGTGTTCGGAAGCGAGTGAACTTTGTCACCCACTTTCATCTTAGCTACTAGTAAAGTTGGGAGGCTGAAATTTCGGGTATATGTTTCTACCCCATGTGTCATTCTCCCGTTTTAAACTTTTCGCTCATATGCGCCCTAAATCACGCACACGAACCCCACGCATATGCTTTCGAGCAAGAGCACTCCGTGACATTATACCAAATTTTCCCACCGATGATCCGGGCTATCTTTCCACCCCTAACCACATCACCTCACACTCTCTGTGTTTACAGCTTAGGGATGAAACACAGACTGGCTACCCTACATACTTCGGGTACGTGACCACTTCATATGTCAAAAGGTTTTTACTACATTATCTTTATAATTCTTTTCCCCACTACCATATACTAATTTCCATCCTTTCCGCCTTAAATCACAGGGTATTCAGCCATGCTAGACTTTCTTCGATTAGCGTGTACTTCGCAAAATAAGCTTCGGCCTGCGATTACGGCGCAGAAAGCCACTTCATAGCTCCGAACTTCTTGTCAAATAGGTTGCAGCTTCCAGGTCAGTCCTAGAAGGGCAGACAATGGGGTGCACAAGCAAGAAAGAGTAGTGAAGTTTGGGGGTAAGAGTGAGCTAAGACGTTTCGGTCCATTGAGTCATATACGTCTTAACTCCACACTGCGACTGAACCTCGTCAGTATGACGGTCGGCAGAGGATTTATTATACAATTAAAGGTTAAAAGAGAATATAGGAGAAGGAAATGATGAAAACAGGAAATGGATATTAAGATAGGTAAGGGATATAAGAAATATTTGTTATAGGCAAAAAATGTTTCGGTCCATTAAGTCGTATACATTTCTTACCGTTACCACAATTGGACCTCGTCAGTACGACGATTGTGGTAACACAATAATTTAGTAAGGTATATAAATTAATTAAGATAAAAGCATCTAATCCAGAAACCAAAGTAATAGTAGGGGAAATGGAAAATATATGGGGAAAAGGGAAAACATAAAAGTAAAAAAAACAATGACACGGGACAGAATGAGCGATTAGCGACGACGAATCACCAGTAATGGCATGAATAGATCAGTTGACGTAGGGCACTGCGCTGTCACATATACTGCTACTTCTGGACTATAATGAAGTACTTTGCTTGCCGTAGCATAACACAGGGATTTTTAATTATCATCCAGAATATGCTCTTGATAAGCTTGATGTTCTTACAGCTACCGATTATTGACTACGAAGCATCGTTGACGGGTGAATGGGTGCAGTGGACATCAAAGGTTCCCCAGATCGAAGTAGAAACACATCGGGTTGCTGCTGCTGATTTGGTGATACCAACAGTGGACACTGTGCGACATGAAATGCTTCTCAACACTTGGCTTTCCGAGCACAAACCACTGGTGCTCTGTGGTCCGCCAGGTTCCGGCAAAACAATGACTCTCCTCTCGGCGCTTCGTTCTTTACAAGTACTTTACTTCAAAAAAAGAAATATTGTGCAGCGCGGAGGTTGAGGGCAAAAACACATATTGCAACGACTCTGTGTGTGTGCATGTGCATATGTGTGTGTGTGTGGGTGTGGGTGAGTGGGTGTGCGTGTGTGTGGCTCACCAACCACGCAAGATTTAATGTTGAAATTTTGCCAGTGCGTCCCTTAGTCAAGTGCAATCCCAGGAATATGGTATCAGCAGTTACGCACATTTACGTCAAAACACTTGAAAGTTTTGCCGGGAAGATTGCTAATCTGAGAACTAGAAAAGCTAGAAAGGTGAAACTTAGGGGGAATGTTCCTTACCCATGTATGATTAAAAGATTTCAAATTCAGCCCCTTAGAACTGCCCACGATTCACGTACGGACATGTGAGATTTTTGGCGGAAAAATTGTTGAGACGGGAACGAGGAAAGCTGGAATTTTAAGGGAATGTTCCGTGCTCAGGGCGACTAAAAAATTTCTTATTCAGTTCTTCTAGCGAAGTTTTTCGCGCACCAGCAGTTTTCCATTTGTCGGGTCACGGAAGCTGACATCTGTAACTGACATGTCACATAGCTGCACAGTTAACTTTCTGGACTTCCAAAACCAGTACGCCACAATTTTTAGCTACTATGATTACTTGCGATATTGCTACAATACGAAATAGTATAAAAAAGCATGATCGCACCGGTCCGCCTGATGCGTTCCAGCCTGAATTTTAAATCCAGTTTCTCTAAGCCGATTGTAGCGTCCAGGTTGATCTAGGGTACCAAAGTAAGAAAGATGTATAAAAAGAAGAAAAAAGAAAATAATAGGAAAAACGACTTAGTTAAGACGTTTCGGTCCATTAAGTCATATAAGTCTTAGCTCAACACCATGGCTGGATCTCGTCAATATGACGGTCACGGTGTTCAGAGAACAGAAGGAAAAGAAAGGAATGTAAGAGAGAAGGAAATAAATGGCAACGCGCACCAGACTAGCCTGTGCGATCATGTGTTTCGTGCAATTCAGCCCATCGAACGATTGCCTGTTAATGATTTTCACTGCTTTGTACATTATGCAAAAATAGTTCAAACATTGGAAAACAGTTAAAAACTTCACGCACCAGCGTATGAAAGCTGAATTCAAAACCTTGAAGGATGAATATCTTCCCGTGATACCCGAGTTAATAATTTACCCGCCAAAATTTTCACGAGGCGGTAGGTGGTACCCGAGGGCGCGAGGACGCTGAATTTGGATGGGCAAGGTTGAACGGGGGCGAGGGGTCATTACCCTAAAATTTCAGCCTCCTAGACTCCGTAGTTCCCGAGATATTAACTTACCCGTGAAAGACTTTCACGGGGCCGTACGCGTTATCCGCGGATACGGGGAAGCTGAATTTAAATTTTCCGGGGTCACACGTGA